CAAAAAAAAGTTTTCTGGATCACTGCCCCTATGCTGGGACAATAAGAGCACAGCATATGTGCTTTGCGAACGACACTACAGACTGGCAAGAGTTGCTGAACTAGCATGCTGGTAGTATTGCATCTAATATCTACAACGAAACGATGGACAATAGAAACGAAAAGAGGTGTCTGAGGCCTCCTTAATATTCATATAAATTATTGTTGGCCAATATCGCAGTATGTGTCAATCCGATAGAGAAGAAATTGCTGCACTTCATCTTTTTTTGATTATCTGGCTCTGTATGTAGGATAGATGGAAGAAATGAATTTTTGGCTTCACACCCTGAGCCGAATCGGAAAAATACTGCTGAAACAGTACGTTGTCGACTTACATCCCTAATGTGTCGTGTCATCATCACATTCACAGAGTTGTGGAAGATACAGATAATTATCCGCTATTATATTCCCTAGATGACTCAATAATAAATTTTTCTTCTTCAATATTCAAATAATTCGTTTTACCCATTGTAATAATTGCCGGTTTAATGGCCAATCCCTCCTAGTGGGTACAAGCCAAAGCATATAGGAACAAGCGAGCAAGCAAGCAAGCAAGCTGTCCAGGCTTGCGCAAGATAAGGTGTCTACAAAATTATATACGTATAAAAATCACACTATTGCTCTATTACAGGAATAAATCCGTTTCTTTATTTAAATAATTGTATGCGTTAGATCAAGCACCACACTTTCCCTAAGTTATCGGTAATCTTTCAGTTATATCTCCATTGTTCTAAATCTGATGTTCGAGGTATAGCACATCCAGGACGGGACAGAGAAGAAGACACAGAACACATACATGGCACTAACTTTCAACAATGCATTGTTGAAGGTTAGCGCCATGTATTTGTTCTGTGTCTTCTTCTCTGTCCCGTCCTGGATGCGCGATACTTCGAACAACATGAATAACCAACAAGCCCGCCGTGCAACCTTAGTCTAAATCTGAACAATACTTTTTAAAACCACTCGATTCTTGGCCAATACCCCATAGTGGGGATGCGCCACGGTCAATAGGTGAACAAGGACAAGAAGAAGCTCCTCGCTGGTGCGTGGCTCGTGGTCAAAGGAAGAAGAAGCCGTCCCGCGCTCAGGCGTTCGTCGCTCGTCGTCCGCCTCGAATCGGTGAGCGTTTAGAGCGATGACTCCGACCAGGAACAGTTTTGTAGAACTGAATTCTGTTACCAGCATTAGCAATGCCCACAGAAAGCCGTTGTTGAAAAAAATTGCGCAGCCCCTGCAGAGTAGCGCCAGCTTGGGGCAGAGCCGAGCTGGTGGCCTCTTGGCTGGTCCCAGCTTGACTAGGCACACGCGCGGTCACATGCCGATGCACAAAGGGCTCATGGGATCACACAGTAAAGGAAGAGTATCGCCTGGGTATCGACGAGGTTCTATTGCGTATCGCAGCACCAGGTAAACCAATTAGGTTTAGCTAATCAGAGTAAATTGCCTAATTTGCTCGTATGACGATTGGTACCAATTAGTTTGAATCCCAAGTCAACCTAATTAGACCGTCTAGCCCAGCTGTGCTCAATTTTGGTTAGTGATAATTATATAGGTTTCGCTCAGCCCACTTGCGGAGCTCGGCATGAGTAGGAGCACCGGAACATCCACTGTGCTTAATTAGAAATAAGGATGCTTTCAGTCAATTAGCTTAATCATCTGACTTATCTTTGACATGTTCACCAAGATCTAATTAGGCTTCGCTATGATTAACTAGGCGCAGCTATGCTGAGCGCACATAAGTAATATATATTCTCTTGTCTACATGGCGAGAGGAACAAATGGAGGGCATAGCAGCTCTGCTGTAAAGGCTTCTTAAAAGAGAGGAGCACAACTCATCTTGTATGCTGCAAACCTGACGGATGCGTTTAGTCCCGTTACAGACATCAAAACGAAGCAGTAATTTGGCCTATATTGATATACTTAGCCTGTGGACTCTAATTGTGGTAATTTATGCATAACTGGTCTGTTAACCTCCGACAAAATGAAATTCGAACATTGATAGTCAAGGTAACACCAAAATCTGTGCGTGACGTCGTGGATTTCAAACTATTTTTTTGCACTGTTGAGAGATTAACCCAGCACAACAATATCGGCTTGTGTTAACATTGTATTAGTCCATCAACCAAGGCTCCATTCTGCTTTCTAGCAAATTCATAAAAATTACTCCCTGAAGGGGAGAGTTTGTAATGTGCTAACACTTCGGAGGATATGACTGGCGTCGAGTGTGAATGTGCGGATAAATATTAAATTTGGTTGAATAAATTCTCAACATTTACTGGATCAGTCGTTAGCATTTTAGGTGGATACAGAAGTGCTGGTTCCTGCAGGCAGTTAATTTTGATATGCTATGATTCCTTAATAGGTATAAGGTTATAAACACATAATAGGTGGTAAACTTCTAACAAAGTAATGTTAACATTAATATACGTTTACAGCGCCCGACAGTCACTTGTGAAAAGAGTGTTTTCTCTATTTTGTTCACAAACAATAAATTTAAGGATTTTCGAAAGTGTTACTCGAATGCAAAATGTGCTGCATCCACAAAACCACTACCCACAGATTTCGCCGTCTTGCCGCTGGGTGGCGCAGCGCTTGCACGAAAGAGAAAGAGACTGGGTGCAATGCTCAGCTCGTGCATTGGCTCATGAATTGCAGTTAGCCTGCCCTGCAGTGGGTCACCCCATGCGGGTGGGAAAAATACGGTTTGTAGCTTGAAATTGTGTGGCAAGACGTGACATTGCCAAACGCAGTGAGGCGGCCTTTTCTACTTTATTCCAGCATGCGTACCAATGTGGGCTATCGGGGCACATTAAAGTAAATTTTATCGTAGCAAGGAACCACAAGACATCAAAAAACAGCTATGTATTTTCAGCAAGGTCATTTTCGGAGGCGTATGTATCACCGATTCTGAAAACAAAAGTTCTCACATCCGTCTGTTGCCTAATCTTTGCATTTGTTTCCTCTGTATGATAAAAGCCAGTTTACTTTAATCATGCGAAGTGGTGTAGGTGTCCGCTTTAGCCGAGGCCGTGTTGCCCGTTTAGAATGACACGGCATCAACTATTCATGTGGCTTGGTTCTAGGGTGGGAGATAATGATAGGCTCTTGAGCTGATGGGAGTGTCATAAACTCCTTCAAAGCTAATGGCCTTGCCAGCAGTATTCATGGCGCTTCACTGACTTGCGCAGGTAGTGCAAGAGCAGATGGAGTGCAGGGCATCCCGTCGCAACGTCGAGGACGCCAACCAAGGCGACATCTTCCAGGAGGTGCGCCTGGATGACAATGGCAACATGGAGGAGGCACCCATCACCGGTAGCGTTGACGTCGTGTGCATAAGCATTCGATGCTTGGCGAGTTTTCGTCCCATACTCCAAAGCAATATTTACCTTAGATGATTTACTTACGTGAAGACAGGCACCATACTTTTCTCCCAAGGAGATCATCGACGTTCAGAGAGTCAAATATAAGAAGACACAAAGCGAAAGATCTGTTGCTTTGCTCTTCACAATTCCAGTAATAAGGCGAGAGCCCATGGACGGAAGTGCGATGTGCTGAAGAAGTTGCATAAACAGAGAGAAAGCGCCTAGACAAGGTCACTTATGTTTGGAAATATGGGCCTATCTTTGTCAAAGGTGACTTGTAGTTAAAGGCGCAGGTTTTTTTTTTGCACGCGGGAAGTGCGACAGCTACACCACGTTATATGTGGTACAGGGCCACCCCCGTTAGAGCCAACAGTCTAAGGATGACAAGAAGCTTTTGACAAGTATAGGGTGACCTACTCAAACGGTGAATAGCCTATCTGGCGTACTTTATTATAGTTCATTTCTCCTTCCTCGGGTATACTTAAGGTGAAATTCTCATGTGACTCATGCGGTGAAATATATAATATCCAACGCGCTTCTTCGTGAGACACTAAGTCACGTGATAGCATCAATGCCAACGGCACGCTTAGTCATAGGACCAGAGGCCTGCTAAGCCTTATAGAAGGTGTAAAATGGTCCTAGATGCACCATCGCGCTCGTATAAAAAGAGGCATACATATACGTAGGCACCTCAATTTTCATTGCATCTGCGCTAAAGATTTGATTTATGAGTCATCCTAACGACAGTGAGGGACCCCATTGTGCTCTTGCCGAGCGACCACACTCGGAAATATCGAGTAAATAGGGAGTCTTTTTGTCCCTCAACAATAATCGCCATCTATGCTGCGTACCTTCCCTCGCAAAATTACCGCGAGACTGGCACTTCAAGAATAACATGCGCGTTATCAACGTGACATAGTTTTTTTTCATAAGAAAGGGGCCATCGCCGAGTTTTCCCAGAAGAAAAAAGCACCAGCAAGGTGAATCATGATTATTGTTCCGGGACGAAATGACACCCTTCATGCTCGATCTTTCTTTGGAGTGCATGCATACCTTATTTTCCTGGGAATCCACTGTCGAGAAGGTATTGGACATGGCGCTGCCCATCCCAGCTCCGAAAGGCAACGAATGCGCTGTGGCATTTCCTCAAAGTCACCAGCTTGTTCCATCGTTTGTGATGTGAAACTCGCAACAGTACCGCATTGGCCCAGTCAGTGACTTTTTCCCCTCCTCTAAAACGTTCCTTCTCCCTTTCCCCTTCTCCAGTTCAGTGCAGGGTAGCTTACCGGGGCTCAGTCCTGGTTAACCTCCCCGCCTTTCGCCTTATTCTACCTCTCTCTCTTTTCAAACATGATAAGTACAGTACAACTTAAGCCTAGCGAGCCACCTTGAGTGTTGGCTCTCTCTCTGTTGCAGGTATGCTCCTTTCTGGCGACAAGTCAGCGGGCGGGGCGCTGCGCATCCCGACGGCGGTGATGTACTCGTTCGGCGTCGTCATGCTGCTGTCGTCGTGCGTCATCCTGGTGTCGCTCTTCTACATCATGTCGGCGGGCGGCCCTTCTCCCCGCGCGACAAGCCGCTGCCCAAGCCGGAGCCGACGATGACCATCAAGCTGCGCGTGGCCGACCTGCCGGAAAGCCTCCTGGGGGCGCTGCGTCAGCGGGGCGCCGCCGGATCGGGGTTGGGTAACGGATCTGCGGCCTCCGCTGCGGCAGGTAGGTGCAGTTCTTGTCGAAGACTAGTGTAGAATTTGACCCATTAGTGTATCGCGATTCCACAGGCTTGGCAGCGCAGGAAACATGAAAGGACTAGGAAGAGATGACAAACACTGCTGCTTACAACTGCATATATATAACTTTAAACTTACGTCGTGCTGGTGTAGTTGTTACGGTGTTCGGTTGTGAACCTGAAGGACACGGGTTCGATCCCGGGCCGTGCCAGTCGCATTTCGATAGAGGCAAAATGGTCCCGTGTGCTGTGCGATGTCAGTGAATATTAACAAACACCAGATGGTCGAAATTTCTGGAACCCCTGCTACGGCGTTTCCCATAAGCTATCGTAGTTTTGGGACATCAAACACCTGATATAATTGTTATCCCAATATCAAACAACAACCCTGCGCTACACAACAAGCAATTGCAACTGAAAACGTGAATGATATTATTCATATCTTCGCTTTATCGGTTTGATCAGTAGAATGCGTGGCGAAACATTCTTGTTCTTTCAAGGAAACGTCAATTTCTGCTTTGATAATTTTGCGCAAGGACCGATCTGACCGTGTATATACTTAGCAATTATGTGGCAGTCTGAAAACATTGGTTCGTACTCTGCGCATAGAGTTTCATAATATACACTAGAGAGAAATCTGGCGCTAGTGTCTATGGGAGCTGCAACGCACGGCGCTTCAGCGAGCATGGGAATGATTGGTAGTAGACACATTTGTCTAATCTTCGTACTTCTGGCCTGCTTCTGGCTCCATGTGTGCCCGTGTGGCTTGGAGCCATTTTCTCACAAAACGAAAAATCAGCAAATGTTAGCGGTTTTGTTTCACCACTTTAATTTTATAAAACTTACCTTTTCAAATCAGGTCACGAAGTTCAAAAGGGTTCGTTCTTTTTCTTTAAAACAAAACCGTAACCAGCAATAAACGAAGGTGCAAACACGATTCGCCGTCCGCAAGTACGAAAACTAGGCAAATGTGTGTACTGCCCATCATTCCCTTGGTCGCTGAACTATCGCAGCGCCAGAGTCCACTCTAGTTAATTTTAGGAAACTTTATAACTCTGCAGAGGGCCACGGTTCATATCCCGCCACACAGCTGCCGCGATTCGATGGGGGTCAAATGACAAGACGTCTCTGTGTGCTATCGTGAGCACTACAAGCATGAACACGCCAGCACACGGCAAATTATATGGACCCACCGATTTGAACAGTGTTGTTGGAAATTGAGAGCAGAATGCGGCTTTTCTGCGGGAACTGCAGCTCTCACTCCCAACACGTACCTTTTTAACGGCAAGTATGCCTGATACGCACTCTGCGCTACATGCCCGACTCATCAACGCGAACGACCAATGGCGCGCTAGCCTTTGCTTTGATATATCCACACTAGAGAAACGGGAGCGCCAGCAGTTAGCTGGACCACGGCGTCCTTTGCACTTTAGTTCTGATAGCGCCTGCCCTGTGTGTCACGTGCGAGGCCAATGGCCATGCGCTCTCGCGTTCCCGCTCAGATCGCTCGCAACTGTATAGTTGCGTGTTGGTCGATCAGTTCTGGGAGGTGGTGGCGCAAGGTGGTGGCGCAGCATCATAGGGAAATCTTGCACCCCATCTTTTCGTAGAGAAAACTGACAGCGCAATTTGGTCACATTTCTCAGATGAAAAAATTTAGTTAAGGAAAAAAATCCGACCTTAATTGTCCGGGGCTTTCAACCTTGCGGAGAATGTGCCCATACCGGACGCCAAAGTCGTGAATTAGGGTCACCGCTAGTTTTAAAATGTTTTAAGCATGGAGCACTTGAGGGGCCCGGAATGTCGTACGGTTCCGTATGTTGTCGTCGCTTGGCGCAACGGATATAAAAGCACGTACAGCGTAGCCTTACGTATACCATACCGAGCACGCGCTCACGCCAAGAAATCCTCTGGTGTCTTCAAGGGTTTTGATGGCGATAGTAAGCGTGGAGCGCTTTAGGAAGCCCGTTCTCTTGTATGCTGTCATCGCATACAACAGAGAGAGAAGAGGGGCGGAAAAAAATCTGGTGAAGAGGAAAAGAAAGCCCAGGAGAAACAAAGAGGGCTGTCCTGCTCAGTGCTCACTTAGCCTTGGCGATCTTCCTTATGACAGCTCGCGGAACATATGCGGCGTACTTGAAAGTAAAAGGCTGCGCGTGGATGACACAAGTTCGTATGCCATGGTGCAGCAGTGGTTGTGGAGCTCGACTGCTTCCCCAAAGGTTGAGGGTTATCGATTCCGGCCGCGGTGTTCACATTTCAACGGACGCTAGGTGGCAGAAGCTCGTGCATCATGGAGTGTAGAGGACGTTAAAGAACACCAAATGGTTGAAACGTCTGAAGCCCTCTCTTGCTGCGTCCTTCATAATCATATCGTAATTTTGAGACATCAAACTGTAGATATTCTTCTTCGTTATTATTGTTTTTAAATGACAGTTTCACATGCAATCATACATTCACATGAACGGGTCTCTGTACTCTTCTATGCGAACGCTCTAAAAAAAGAGCGAGTAAAAAGGGTGTCTTTTTGTCCCACAACAATCATCACTATCTATATTGCGTTCCATCCTTGCGCTATCACCACGCGCCCGGTACATTCTGGTCACGATCGACATGCCCATTGTCAGGGTTACATGCATTCTCGATAGGAAAGTGGCCAGCGCCGAGTTTTCAAGAAAGGAAGCGCACGCAAGCCTAATGACGATTGTTGTTGTGGGACAAAAAAGATGCCCTTTTTACTCGGTATTTTTTTAAAGTGAACGTGTTCTTTTTCCCACAGCCTTTTACACCTTTAACACACTATCCGAAGAACAAGTTTTACTGTTCACTAAACATTTCGAGAGTTTGAGGAGTGTTTATGCAACACAACAATAATCATCTACTTCGAGTACATTCCTCACGTTATCAGCACGATTCCGATAGTTCGCGGTTCCGAACGGCGCGCTCGTTATCAGTCTGACATAGCATTTCCGACAGGAAAAGTGGCCAGCGCCGGGTTTTCCAGGAAAGGAAACGCGAGCAAGTCAGATGACGATTATTGCTGTGCGGCAGAAGTACTCCCCGAATACTCCATTTTTTATCTTATAGAGGGTATGTGGCGTTTGCTTTCACTCCGTGGACAGCCAGTGACCCTAGCCGTGGTCGCGGAGATGGCCGGCGCCACTCGCCAGCAGCGCCCCCGCTTCTCGCCGGCAGCGACCACCGTGCTGCAGTGCAGCGTCCGGGCGAACCCATGATGTCGGCCCAGATGTACGGCGATAGCGCCTTGGCCGAAGAAGGCTACTCGAACATTGGGAGAGTCGGCCCGGGATCGTCCAGGGGTGACGTCAAGGAGATCGTCGTCATCCAGAGCCCCATTTGCGGCCAGGTGTGGGAGAGTCAACGCATCGACTGCCATCCCGAAGCGGCCCCGAGCCTCGAGTCGTGCCGGTAAGTCACGTACTCTTCAACACATTTCCGTAGCTACAGCTGTGATCTAAGTTCACACTGTAAAAAAAAAGCTCAAGACACACGTTTTGGAATGGTTAAGACGAAAGAACAATAGGTTTTTTTTAGCTTTCAGCGGTGACTCACTTCGTACTCACTTCGGTCTTTCATTAAGCGGCCGCCCCTCCACTAACACCCAAGGATGATAGCTACTTGGCCACTGCCACATGTATACTTTCGTGCGTGTGTGTCGAAACGTCCTTCACAGCGTTTTGATAAACATCCCGAGTTTTTTTTATGAGTTTGCGTCACAATCTTTTTCCGCATTATTTTGCAAGTCATGCAGTATACGAAACCAGGAGCGTATCTTAGATGGCTACGTGAGACACTGTAGACGTTGTTTAACTGAAGGCGCCGTAAAGTAAGGAAACATCCATAAAAGAAAACTCGGCGGAATCTGGCTAACGGAAATCAATTTTGGGTAAATGCTGGAGTTGTACACACGTTTTGTTGTTTTATCAGTTATCTCTAAAGAACAGTCCATAGAGTGGGCGAAATACGATCTCTGAATCAGTGAACACCCTTGGCTTCATGGAATGGTATCCTCGCAGAGTACGCGGCTGCTGCTTCGAACCGGTCAACGCGTCCTCTGAGAACTTGGAGCCCGGTTTCCAGCTGCCACCAGCCTGCTTCTACCCGGCCAACTACCTGGGCTACAAGGTAGACTCCATTCAGCGGTCCCCGACGAGAATCGTGGCGCGTGCCATACGCGTCACACCATCCGGGCTTCCGGACGACCTGCGAACCATCCAGGTGGAAGTGACCAACTACAACGACAACACTGCCCGCATCAGGGTACGCGCATGCGCACACGTGGATGCAGCACGCTAACTCGGGGATGCAGCCACGACTAGTGCGATAGGAGACGTCAGATTGCAGGAAGTTGTCAATTTGAACTTCAAGTAGTAGTAGTAGTAAACATTTATTTAGAAAAAAAAGAGAGGTTGCTAGGGAGACCAGCCTCTAGTGGGTCAGCCTCTCTGCAGTACTAGGTGGAGTTCATAGTGAGGGACCCCATTGGTCGTGGCCGCTGTCCTGGCATGCTGGATTATGACTCGTTGGGCCGCAAGGTCCTGGCAACCGAGCAGGGCCACCTCCCAGTCCTCTCTTGTTCAAGGATGGTCCGTTAGACAGGGAATACTATAACACTTGTACTGAAACGCTTTCACTGATTTACATAAGTCATGAACGACATCGCCGAAGTGTATGCCAAGAACATTTCATTTTCCACTTTTGTACGCATCCTAATCGCCTTCAGCCTACGGTGCTATTAGAAGTGCATTTGCGCAATAGATATACAAAAAGAATTCACAGTAAAAAATGTTCTCACGTTTCGTCCGGCCCAAGTTACTTGCCACACTAAAAAGCTTCACTTTTGTGAAGTTTTCAGCTTTTAGATCTCGCACTGAGTTAACTACGACGTCGTCAGTGCAGGTTCAGGCATTCACCTTCACCTTTGTCAAGGCAGAGCCAATTTACTAGTAAGGGTTACTAGTAAAAGTTGGATTATAAATGTAATGTGTTTTTCTCAGATAGTTTCCCCCAAGGATAAATTCTTCAAATGGCGCGAACTGGTCAAACACTGTGTGTCAGTGAAACCAACGCTTCGGCAAAGGAACCGTCTTTAGACAAGTCGCTTCGTCGAAACGTTGAACGTGCACACACATCTGTACCTACGTTCCCTTAGACGCGAAATGTAGCGTACGTTTTCTTTTTTATTCCGCGAGACATGTTCACAGGTGTACGACTCGAGGTCTGCGCGGTACGAAGTGCCCCTGCCTAACGTACCACAGAAGGACCACTACTTTCCTGTGATGTACGAGACCTCGGTTAACCCGGCCGGAGACCTCGAGATCATCCGGCCCGCGTCTAGGAAAGTTGTGTACGTAGCACACTTGCAGCTGTGACACTACGTCGATTCGAAGCAATCGCTGTACTGGCAAGCTACGTTGCTTGTGGGCAAGAGCACGAAAAAGAGGCTTGATGTAGGCTTCGTCTCTTGACAATCCTCACTTAGTGTGCTTCAAGATAGACGTTAGAAAGATATGACTTCGTGTACTTATAGTAACAAATACTATTATCTCGTATTCGGATACAGGGTAACGCAACTTCCTTCTCACCGCTAGGTGCAACGTTCCGTAATCACACAAATTACCATTATAAGCAACGTGTTCGCTAAGCGTTCCGTTGTATAAAGCTAAAACACGTGGTAGTGTACGTTTTGTTCTAAAAAACTTGAACACAAGACAGTTAATGTTATTCGTTTATACCTACAGATATTCAGTTTTAAAGACTTACTGTTCAATGTACAGGCGTTCTAACAGTAACCCAAATGGACCTAGGGAGTGCGCGGTAGGCTTGCGGCATCCTAAACGATTGCAGCACGTTGGGACATGTAATGAGGACAGGGGTTCTCTTATTGGGAAGCGCATTGTAGAGGATGTAGCTATAACCTCTCTAGCAGTCATCATACTGCTTTTGTCAAGCTTGAGTACAATTCCGTGAAGTGGTCGTAATTGCTCTGTATCAGAGAATATGAGGAATATAAGCCGGATATGAACACGGAAGTGGTTCTGCAGATTCCACACAAACCTGTCAACACTGGTGTTCGCGGACCAGTTTCTTCAGATGTCCACATACATTCCGTCACGTTACGTTTACGGGGTCGGAGATGTGAAGTCACCGCTGCTGCGAAGTACGGACTGGCAGAAGATCACCCTTTTCAACGCCGGGAGGTCGCCCATGGTGAGATTTTGTTGTTTTTCGCCTTGGTCACAGTGCGCTGACTACCGTGAATTTTAGGCCATATGTTGAGATGGCACACCAGACTGCTAGAGAGGTTAGTTATAAAGCGATTGTTATTGTGACTATAATACAAGGTGATACGGTTCTGACTAGTAGGCTGTTAGCACTGGAATCCATGCGCGATCTCTACTAGTTCTGACTAGTAGAGATCGCATTGTGGTACCAGTGCGGTATGTTTCCTCATTCTAAGGAGCGCAGTACCAAAAGTTTTGGTCGTCGCCTCATGCTCGAGAGTGAAGTGACGTGAGCAAAAGCGTCAGATATGACGCCATACTCACACTGTCAAACTTGAATGAAATGGAAAGGTTTTGCATGTTGTACAAGTGTCACTATTTTCCCAATCTCAGTACTTGGCTCGTGTCACTGGGGGGGGGGGGGTAACCCACGCCGTGCCACCTCGCTGTTCTGGCAATCTTGCCAGTACCCCTACTGTCAAACGCAGATATCTGCAGTGACTTGCTTCTCTAGCAATGACGCGATAATTACACTGCTATATTGGTCATTGTCACGTTGCAAAGTGAACATAAGCTGGGCCATGTCACACTAACCACTTTTCGCAAGATGTTTCTCTACAATTGCTATATTTTTTTCATCAATGCAAATGATCGCCATGGTGTTCAAGTGGCTAAGGCGTTCGGCTGCCGACCCGCAAGTTGCGGGGTCGAGTCCCTGTCACGGCACCCGCATTTTCCATGGAGGCTGAATTGTTTCAGGCCGGTATGCTTGTAGATTTTGGTGCGCGTTAAGAAAACCCAGATGGTCGAAATTTTCGGACTGCTCGATTACGGCGTCTCTCATATTGCCACCTACTTCTAGTAGTGGTTCGTATGCCAAGGTGAAGGCTCACACCACAGAGAAGAAAGAAGTGCGCGTGCCTCCCCCCCCCCCCCCCCCCCGCTGCTCTGGCAAACAAGCCCAACCGACGCGCTTGGTTAGAGCCCTGTTGCTCAGACGTCAATAAACCTTGTCGACACCCCCTGGAGTGACGTGACAATTGGTGGAGGTGCTGGGTAGCTCCTAACGGATGTTTCAGACCCCTCCTTGAAGCGGCACCACAAGCCCAGTGCGAGTCAACACTCCCGTTCATCAGACAAGCCGCAGGATCAGGGGATTGCCACCTGAAGCTGACCCTACAGTTGACCCCAGTATGATGAGCACGTCCATTCAAACCACTTTAACAGGTACGGAAAACCCCCCGGTGACTCGGTACACCCCCGAAAGTCCACAGGTTCCGACACCGTTTCATGGCACCGAGCTCGAAGACGTCGAGGACTGGTTGGTCGACTTCGAACGCGTGGCTGCTTTGAACGACTGGAATGACGCGGCCAAACTACGGCGTGTGTATTTCTATTTGGAGGATGGAGCACGTACCTGGTACATGAATCACGAGGAACAGATGACATCGTGGCCCGAATTCCGCCGCCGGCTGTTGGATACTTACAGAAGTGCGGATCGCCACGAACGAGCGGAGCGAGCGATCCAGGCCCGCATCCAGATGCCCAATGAAACTGTCATGACCTATGTGGAAGATATGACGCGCCTGTTCCGACGGGCGGATCTGAGTATGACAGAAGAAAAGAAGTTGCGTCACCTGATGCGGGGAGTTAAGGAGCAGCTTTTCGCTGGCCTTGTACGGAGCCCTCCGAACACCGTCGCCGAGTTTTTTTCCGAAGCCGTCACAATGAAAAAGATACTTCAGCATCGATCCACCCTGTATGAACGGCAAGTGAACACGCGTCCACTGCTCAAGTTCTCACGACTTTTGGGAGCAACACCGAGTGTCTGCGCGACCTTATCCGCTCTATAGTACGCGAGGAGCTGCAAAAGGCTGCGACACCACCACTACCTACGGTGAGTTCCATTGCAAGCATCGTCAAGGACGAGCTGCATCATGCCCTTCGTGACCCTGTGAGTCTGGATAACGCCACACCCGCCCCGGCTGACTACCACCGTGCGACCTATGCGGAAGCCTTGAAGCGCCCAGCTTCCTCTTCCCCGCTGTTTGCTCAAACACCTCCTACGGTTTCACTTCAGTCGGCGCAGCCTCTACGGTACTACGAGAACACACGCACGCCCCCGCCCCTCGTTTACGCCAGCCCTGTGCATCTTGCGGAACAACCATCACACTACGTTGACGACAGACGTGCTTCGCCTCTGAAATCTGATGTTTGGCGCACTCCTGATCGCCGACCTTTGTGCTTCCACTGAGGTGAAGCGGACCATTTGTACCGCCACTGTCCATACCGCCGCCTCGGGCTGCGCGGCTTTTCAGTATATTCAGCGCCTACACGGTATGGCCAGCGACCCCGGGACATTGAGGACTACCTGGCTCAACAGCGCATGCTACCGCCTTCTGGACGGCACCCGCGCTCACCGTCGCCGAGGCGCTTTTCAACTTCGCCACAGCGCCATGCTGGCGCACGGTCCCCCAGTCCCCGCCGGGAAAACTAACGCAAGCGACCCTTGGAGGCGAGGTCGCTGGCAGTCGACGTGCTGAAGACCTCCGACCGACGCTAACAGTAAAGCGTGTAGGTTCGACTGAGCGATATGTGCGGCTTTCTCTGGATATACCAATGCTGATAGACGGCTATGCAGTCGGTGCTTTAGTTGATACCGGGGCTAACTATTCGATACTAAGCGGGAAAACGACCAGACTACTAAAGAAAGTAATCACGCCCTGGCATGGCTCCGTGATTCGAACGGCTGGTGGCCACACCGTCTCTCCGCTTGGAACCTGCCCGAGTAGAGTGCGGGTCTGTGGTTATACTTTTGTAGAAAGTTTCCTTGTGCTCCGTGAATGTTCACGCGACATTATTCTTGGTGTTGACTTCCTGCAGGAGTATGGAGCTGTCATTGATCTTCAAGGGAATCGCATCACCTTCTCAGCCGACCGTGCAAACGACAAGCAGGACGACCAACAACGTGCCGACGTTCTTCGTGTTCTGCTGAAAGTATAACGCTTCCTCCAAGAGCCAGTGTTATTGTCGACGTCACATGCTGTGGATTGCGAAATTGTGAAGCGATTGCAGAAAGTAATTTTGAACACCTGCTGACTCAAGGTGTTTGTGTGGCTAGGAGTATCATACAGTTACGCGATGGCCGATCTCAACTGCTCGTTACAAATTTCAGCAACGAACACCGACACATTTTCCGTGGCACGTCGTTAGCGTTTGCAGATGAATTAGGAACCGTTCCCATCTGCTTCCCGTCGGACACAGTGGAGGCCGCCGATACGTCTCTAAACAATATCCATAATAATTCTAACCTCACACTAGGAAACCAGACAGCACTGCGAAAACTCTTGCTTGAATTCAAGTCATGCTTCACTGCTTCCTCTAAGGTGCGCCAGACTTCAATCACTAGGCACAGAATCGTCACTTACGACGACGTCTGCCCAGTACACCAACAGCCTTACCGTGTGTCAGCGAAGGAACGAGAAGCCGTTCGTACTCAAGTTCGAGAAATGCTTGATGACGGCATCATCGAGCCTTCCAACAGCGCGTGTTCCTCTCCGGTCGTCCTAGTCAAGAAGAAAGACGGAACGCTACGTTTTTGCGTCGATTACCGGAAGCTCAACAGCGTGACTAAAGAGGACGTGTACCCGCTGCCACGCATCGACGACTCATTAGACAGATTACGCCGCGCTCACTATTTTTTCTCTTTGGATTTAAAAAGCGGGTACTGGCAGATTGAGATTGATGAGCGAGACCGCGAGAAAACGGCCTTTGTTACCCCTGATGGCCTGTATGAATTTCGAGTCCATCCTTTTGGTTTGTGCTCAGCGCCCGCAACCTTCCAGCGAATGATGAACACTGTGCTTACTGGTATCAAGTGGCAAACTTGTCTCGTATACCTTGATGATGTTGTCGTTTTTTCTGAAACCTTCCAGCAACACCTTGACCACCTCAGGAGTGTGCTACAGGCTACTCAATCAGCAGATCTTACACTCAAACCGCAGAAGTGTCACTTTGGTTATGAAGAGCTCAAATTCCTTGGCCATGTAGTCAATGCGAAAGAAGTCCGACCCGACCCCGACAAACCTGCCGCTGTAGCCGCGTTTCCGCATCCTACAGAGAAAAAGACTGTTCGGCGCTTTCTGGGCTTGTGCGCCTACTATCGACGATTTATTAGAGGGTTTTGGAAGATAGCGGAACCCTTGACTTGCCTTGCACGCGACGACACACCGTTTGTATGGGCTACCGAACAACAGGCTGCTTTTGCCGAGCTACGACAGCGGATGCAGTCAGCCCCTGTTCTTGCGCACTTTGACGATGATGCTGACACAGAGGTGCACACTGACGCCAGTAACATCGGCCTCGGCGCAGTGCTCGTCCCGCATCAACACGGCAAAGAACGAGTCATAGCCTATGCCAGCCGCTCACTGTCCCGTACCGAGGTGAATTACACGACCACAGAGAAAGAGTGTCTCGCAGTAGTGTGGGTGATCACCAAGTTTCGCCCGTACCTCTATGGTCGTCCATTTAAAGTGGTGACGGACCACCATGCCCTCTGCTGGTTGGTAAACATTCGTGATCCCTCTGGACGACTGGCCCGATGGAGCTTGCGTCTACAGGAATTTGATGTTACCATCGTATATAAGTCTGGACGGAAGCATGAAGACGCTGATACGCTATCGCGTGCACCGATACCTTTAGTCAATCACGACGAAGAGGACGATGACGGTTTCCTGGGCGCCCTTAGCTCATCTGACTGAGCAGTCGCCAGCGAGAAGATGAAGAGATTCGACCGCTCGTCGACTATCTGGAGGGTCACAGCGCCGTTATACCTCTCCATCTATCTCGCGTCGTGACGTCTTTCTGCCTCCGAGATAATGTCCTGTACAAAAAAAAACGCCCGTTCTACGAGCCACGCTTACCTCCTCGTCGTTCCGAAAGACATGCGGGACGAAGTCCTCTCCGCGTGTCATGACCAGCCCACATCTGATCATCTAGGTTACTCGCGAACGCTCGCCAGAGTAAGTGAGGCGTACTACTGGCCCGGACTTTCGGCAAGCGTGAAGCAGTACGTCAAAAGCTGTCGTGAATGCCAGCGTCGAAAGTCGCTACCAAGCAAGCCGGCTTGATTATTTCAGCCAATTGATCCACCCCACAAGCAATTTGACCAAGTCGGCATGGACATTCTCGGCCCATTTCCTTTATCGTCCGACGGCAACAAATGGGTCATTGTTGGAACTGACTATTTGACCCGCTATGCTGAGACACAGGCGATACCACGAGCCACGGCTTCTGAGGTAGCACAGGTCTTCATGTGCCACATTGTTCTGCGCCACGGTGCTCCATCTACAGTGATAACCGACAGAGGAACAGCGTTCACTGCACAGCTTATTGATGAAGTTTTTCGACTGAGTAATACTAGGCATCGAACGACAACTGCTTACCATCCGCAGAGCAAGGGCTTAACCGAGCGACTAAATAAGAAAGTCACAAACATGATCTCCATGTACATCGACGTCCAACACAAAACATGGGATCGCATTTTGCCTTATGAGACGTTTGCTTATAACACCGCCGTTCAAGAAACAACCCGATTTACACTGTTTCGCCTTCTCTACGGCCGCGAAGTTCAGACGATGCTGGATGCGATGCTTCCTTGTGAAGGCGCTGATCAATTAACAACTGACGCAGAAGAATTTGCAGAGCGTGCCGAGGAAACTCGCCAGCTCGCCCGGCTACACATTGGTCAGCAGAAACAGGTCGATGCACGACGTTACAATATGCGTTACAATGACGTATCTTACAGTCCGGGAGACCAAGTTTGGGTTTGGACCCCTGTTCGACGCCGTGGCCTCTCCGAAAAGTTGCTCAGCAGATACTTCGGTCCGTATAAAGTATTACGCCGCGTGAGCGACGTAAACTACGAAGTGGTTCGGGACGCTGCGTCATCACGATGGGTACAACGAAAACAACCGACCTCTGACATGGTTCACGTGGTGTGCATGAAGCCTTATTTTGCGCGTTCCTAAAAGACAACTTTTCCTGTGTTTTTTTTATTTGTGCTCCGACAATTGCCTCATTATTGGTGAACTTATCGCGTCCAACATTTGATTACTGATGCCCTTTTTCATTGTTTAGGCTACCTTGTTTTGTTTTGTTTTCAATAACTTTACAGCTGTTTCTTTTTTGCTCTTTTTTGTTGAGGAGGAATATTGCCACCTACTTCTAGTAGTGGGTCGTATGCCAAGGTGAAGGCTCACACCACAGAGAAGAAAGAAGTGCGCGTGCCCCCCCCCCCCTCCCCGCTGCTCTGGCAAACAAGCCCAACCGACGCGCTTGGTTAGAGCCCTGTTGCTCAGACGTCAATAAACCTTGTCGACACCCCCTGGAGCAACGTGACAATACAATATCGTGGTTTTGGGACGTTAAACCTGCACAATATTATACTTTAATATTACGCATGCAAATGAAAACCTCTTTGTGTTCGCAGGAGGGCAAGAACTTGTACAGCAGCCACCCGTTTATGCTGGTTCACGAGGAAACGGGTGAGAGCTGTGGAATCTTTCTGCTCAACAGCAACGCCATGGGTAAGTCGCATGTTGACTGCTTAGGAAGACGCCATCGTGCCATCGGCCAAATACATACTTTATCGCAAGTGAATTATCACAAATGCATTCGATCGATGTCGAACGGTCGAGTTTCATAACACGGTAAATAATTCGTGGAATAATAAATGAATTGGTTATTACAGTAAGAAGATCTTAACAATAAGTGTGCCTCTGCGGTACATGCATGGCTGTTTGAAGGCCCTGAGTGCTAACGTTGAAAAGTATAAGCTGATGCTTAAGTACGCTTGCTTTTGCTCTTCGAAGCAAACGTAACGAAATGGGGTAAGTATTCTTAATACTTAATTGATTTTCTGCAGCTGGTAGATTCGAATTTTATTTCAGTGCACCAAATAAATAAATAAATAAATAAATATATATATATATATATATATATATATATATATATATATATATATATATATATATATAAAGCATAGAGCTAAACAAAATAATTTTTTGCCGTTTTCTAGAACTCTTTAAACCCAGTTTTCAAAGTTCTACTTGACGCGGCGCCCTTTTGTCAACATCATGTTCAAGCCGAGCTCCTTGGGTAATCTTTTTCGGTACACGCTGCGAAGTGATGCTTTAAGTAGGAAGTAGCCTTTCTATATAAATTGCTGAGATATAAAGTCCATTTTTCGTTTTGTTTTTTCAGACCATTACTCTAAATGACAGGCCTCCTCTTGACAACAATGCAGTGTTTGCGTCTTGCAGAGGTCCCCCCTCTCACAAATCTCCTTGGAACTGTTTTCGTGGTAGACGGCAAAGTCATAGCCGAAGTGAGAAAGAGAATGAATGTATAGAGTCCGGTAACTTAAACTTCTGTCAATGTTCATCAAACAAAACAATACCCTGTCTGCAACACGCTGATGAGAGGAATCTTGTCCGGCATCGTCTTTCTCCTTTCCTGTCATCAACAAAATGCTCCTGCAACGTTTTAATTTTTGAGGTGACAGGAGCCCTCTGTAAGACAGGAATGTTTGCATTTTCGATCTGACAGGAGTCCCCGGTAGGGTACTGGACAACCGGAAGTAACTTCTCAATCTTTTCGTCTCGCAGACATCCTGCTCAAGCCGAGCCCCTCGGTGACTTTCCGCACGACCGGTGGGATTCTGGACGTGTTCGTGTTTCTGGGTCCCACGCCGTCCGAAGTTGTGCAGCAGTACACGGCCCTGGTGGGTCGGCCCGCCATGCCTCCGTACTGGGCACTGGGTTTCCACCTAAGCCGCTGGGGCTACGCCAACATCGACGAGGTCAAGGAGACGAGACGCCGCAACCTACGAGTTGGCATCCCCGTCGAGGCCGTGTGGTTAGACGCTGAATACATGGAGGGTCTACGACCGTTCACATACGATAAGGTCCGCTTCGCCGGGCTCCCCGAGTTTGCTCAGGACCTGCACAAGCGAGATATGAAGTTTGTCCTCACGCTGGTTAGTATCTCAATCCACGTTTCTGTGGGCCTGGGTGAGCTTCACGTGGACACTGAGTGATAGAAAATGTATTTAGCGAGAAACGGCATTGTAAGTACAGTATTAAGGGCACTTTTATTTCTTTCCCATGACGACCATGTTTCATAGCTGAAGAAACTTAACGTCTATCGCTCAGTGTGGGCTTATATTGGGCGTTGAACGTGCGTGATTGAGGGTTTCACTTTTATACATACGGCGAGGAAGCGATTTGCCTCTTATTGAAGAAGAGAAGCGTTTGTTAGACGACATGAACTTGAACATGCATCATCAAGAAAGCCGTACCAGACAGGTTCGTTTTGACCCTACTTTCGTTTTCCTGTCTGTTCTCATTTCTTTCATTACCCAGTACTTCCATAAATGTGCAACAAAGCTTCGTTTTTTTTTAATTTTTTTACCAAAAGGATACTTCAAGGACGTCATTGTGACTACACAGACCTTAACGTTACACCGTGGTGTAGGTTCTCGGAGCAGTTTGGGCACATGATTTGTAGAAGGTTAGTTTTAATGCATAGTTTCTTCATTTTTGTGGAGCAATAGCTTTCATAGCAGCATGAGATAGCTAAATAAGTTAGCCTCGTACATTAACAATAAAAAAGAAAATACGTGTCTTTCTCCGCCAGCATCCCGGAATAGACGCGAACATGGAGAGTGGCTCGTACCTTCCCTTCGACGAGGGCCACAAGGCAGCCGTGTTCGTGAGATCGGAAGCCGGTGATTACAACTACGGCATGGTAAGCTATTAGACAAGTGATAGCACGCTCTGCTAACCTGCGGTGGTTACAGCTAAATATTGTGACTAAGCTCAATATGCGCTCTACATTTGGGTGTTTCATACTAATTGGAGGTTTCAGGAGTTTGATAACTGTGTATTGCATGTGATCTAGCAATAACATTTTGATTTCTTGCCTCGTTATAAAGCAGCAATCTATGGGTCAGCTCCAGTGCGCTTTCGTAGCTGACGTTGATGGAAGAGATCATGCAACAATTGGTAGTGCTTTCCCTTGCAGATGAGCAGCATCGAAGGCGTTGCAGAGTGGTAAAGCAGCACGCCGCGTGTTAAAGTATCAAGGCTTAGTTCATGAATATTGAGGTGTCTCCTGGGTAGCGTCTCCTGGGCATCTTGGGCATTGGCCCAGCCGGATATATACTTTCGAAGTGTGCCAGAATATGCTTAAGCAGCTTCGCAAGGTTTCTCACCGAGCCATCTGGTAATTCATATTAAGATCAACAGTACGAAACTAGTACGATGGAGAACAATAATACAGTTACTTCCAATCAACAAATTTAAAGAACGCTAATAAGTGTGCGTTCATTCGAGCAGGACAAAAAATTTAAACAATAACACTTGCCTTCAGCGCATATCCACTCGCTTTACTGAATCAAAATTTTATTTCATTTGCGATCAATACATTTGATGCAGTTGGGAAGTCTGCAATTGTTGCGTCTCTTATTGTTTGCCCCTGTAATATTTTGACGCAGCTAGTATAGTCTCGTATACAGAGTGTACGGAGTGTTTGGACGTTTTTTTTTTGTAGTGATGCGTGCTAAATTCTGTTGTCAGCATTTATTCGTTGATTTTTATGTGTGTAGTCACTGTTGTTTGTTTCTTATGTTTTATTGTTGGTTATTCATCTCGTATTCATATGTGCTTTTGAATTTTTCTTTTTTGTGCGAACGTTATGTACATTGTGACACTCTCCCTGTAATGACCCCAAGCACGTGGTCGACAGTATCAAATAAATAAAATAAAAAATAAAATAAATATATCGTACACGAGAGTTCTCGAGCATATATGCGAAACATTTGCCTTGTCAGTGGTGACACACACACACACTCACAAAATGCATTGCAGCTGTACTTTAGGATGCTTATGCAGTGTCTGAAACGCATGAAAGCACTCTCTGACCGTGCTGTAAACACGAACAAAATCTGTCGAACGCTCAGGTGGGCAATCGGAGTCGACTCGTGTATCCAGACTTCACGCATCCGGCGAGCGGCGAGTACTGGACAAAGATGCTGTCCTACTTCCACGACGTGGTGCCGTTCGATGGACTATGGCTGGTAAAGACCCTATGCGCTTCTCCGTTTTCGCTTGGCATTTTTTTAAAGAAGGTTATGAAGAACGAGCTTCGTCACGTGATTAAGGGTAAATTTATAGCAAACCTAAGCAGCCTAATTTAATACTCAGTGTATGTGCGAAACGACACTCGACTAATGTGGAGGGGTTACTGGGTAATTGAACGCATATTGAGAGAATTAAAGCATGATCAACTTACTTAGTTTATACTTAGGTATAAATTATTAAATGAGGTATAATTAGGTATATTTAGGTGTTAGGTATAGGTATTGGGCATAGATACCTGACCTAATTAGGTGAATAGGTATTGGGTATTATTAGGTATTGAGAATATGTAATTAGGTATAATTAGGCATTAGGTATAATTACGTATAAATTAAGAATATGAAGAAAGTGTATTGCGAAGAAAAGATTATGTAACGCTACACCAGAAATACTGAGTCGGGTTGGCCTTGACTGCATTCAGTTGGGTTTGGCCGGCTCGCCCTTTGCATGAAAATGGCGCCGAGTTTTGTTGTCTACAGACGTTGAAACAGTTAGTACATCCTTCCTACCCACTTTAATTGACATTGCAAGACAGTGGTAACATTGATCTTAGGGAGCATTGGAACTTCGGGAGGCTTACGCAGAGGATTTTACCTCATGTCAGGGACGTGGCTTTTGAACGCCATGCTGTGTGCTCGGCTATACTGCGGTTTTAGGACCTGAACGAGCCTTCAAGCCTGTACAACGGCTCCGAGCGCGGATGCCCAGCTTCGACGCTCGAAGAACCACCGTACTTACCCGGGGAGGGACACGAGGCGCTACGCACCAAGACGCTGTGCATGACAGGTCGCCACTACCTGTCCAGGCACTACAACCTGCACAACCTGTATGGACTGATGGAGGCGCTGCGCACATACGAGTGAGCCAAGTGCTTTTGAATCACTGTGTACTTGTAGATTTTTAGGAGCGAAGCTCTTTAAGGCATGGGCTGTGCGTCCCCCGTATGTAGCCACCTGTCGTTTAGTTCTTGCAGTGTTCACTAGATGGCGGTACTTGTAGCTGATGATGAAAAGATGCAAGATGTTATAAACTAGACGGCGGTACTTGTAGTTGATGATGAAAGATGCGAGATGTTATAAAATAGGTATGATGTCACATATGGCGCGTGTCATTGGTGGAATGCCATCATTCGATTTTGTGCGGCGACGTACGCTAGGGGGAGTGTTGTTATAAAATCGAGTGGGCAAAATGTACGGAGGATTCATGGTTTACCAGGGTTACCTCCGGAGCTTCGCCCACTCATCATCATTCATTTCGTGAATGCGGTGGCATTTTTTTGTCCATGTCTTAACTTAGTCTTTGTGGTCTTGTCGGGCCATTGTCTTTGCATCGGAAATTTGGACCTATTAATATAACATTTACACGGATTGCAAATGAGTTCTGTGGAAAACCGCAAGGTGGCGGAAGGCGGTTAAGAAAGGGAAGGAAGAGAACCACTCGTTTTTAGCACGAAGCCACAAGGAAGTCTGTACAGATTTCTCAGAAAGAAAAGGCTCCTAGTTGCCGAAAAACTTGTCCTGGTCCGGGGTTTGAATCCGGGACCAACGCCGGTCCGGGGCAGTCGCTCTGCCAATTGAGCTAACCCAAAAGCTAGCAGTTGACAGCGCGAGGGAAAATGCACCCGAACTGAGAAATCCGTACAGAGTTCTTTGTGGCTTCGTGCTACGAACGGGCGGCTGTACTTTTAAAGACGATACTCTTTCTTGGGTACCTTCGATGAAATAGTTTTGATCTGTCTATCTGTAAATTTGTCTGTTTGTTCACACTTAACGATACCTCAAACTGCCGACCCCATCCGCAGCGCCCACCAATATTGCTCAAGGTTTAACGTTAATAGTTGTGCGATTGTGAATTAAAATTCAAAAATACTGCAGCGTTTATCGCGCTGCACTGACAGTGCAACGCGATGCTCAGAAGGGTAAGCGTTTCCAATGCTTTGCTACGACGGCACGGTGGGGGCACCTGCCCGCCGTTTTGCGTTCTACACCTTATCACCTCCAAGACAGGCGCGCATCTTTCTCCACAGGTGCGCACGCCTTCGTTTTCGAAGATAACTGCTAGATGACGCTCGTGTCTAACGTGCTTGGATGCGCTCGTTCGCCTCCACTACATGCTCGAGGCACTCTTACCCAGCGCCTCCAGAATACCGTTCACCGATTTTCTTGCTCAGAACATCAAATAAACGTTTTGTTCACTCTCTCCAGACGGAAGACTATCGTCTTTCGACGACATTTGCAGTGTAATATGCAGATTCAGGGCCATTTTTTTTATCTTTCTTAACATTTACATGAGCATTTCAGGGGCACATTATTTTTGCCGTCGTCGCGAGGCTCCGTATCAAGGCAAAGAGTGATAACATTGTCCTTGGCCCGCGCATTGTGTGGTAGAAACCTGAGGAAAAGTGTGCGAGGAGTATTCGATGCTCATGCGGAAAAAGATACACGTCGCGTGCGAGTCCCGTGATGGAGTGCCGGAGGTTCTGTGGGGATTCGTCGGAAAATGCGCACTTTAATGGGTACTGATCACACGCCTGAAAGCAGCGTTCATAGTTCTAGCGCATTCTTTGCGATGCGGTACAATAAGCTACGCATGGGAGGCGCATCGTACTGAAAACAACTCAATGGGTGGTTTCGAGAAATGCGTTAGAACCAAGGTATTGTACTTTAAGATTTCAGACTACAAACAAGTACTCGGGTGATTAAACATGTTTAATGAGTGATGCAAATGCAAATAACCGTAGACGGAGTAAAAAAATGTGAGCGTGAGAGGTATCTCGTTTGGTCGAAATTGTTTCCGACGCAAGTTCATTTTTTAAAGTTCTTAGGTACCATTAACTGAGAGGCCGTATAGATGCAAGCCTGTTGTACCGAAGACGATGTTGTGTCTACGACGTTTTGCATTTGATTCATTTTATAGCTTGTAAATTAGACGAGGCATATCATCTGCCACTGCTTTGTTTCAGGGGTCGCAGAAGAAATTAATTTCGTTCCTGTTGATTTTTCAGCTCCTTGCGCCAGATCCTGCTGCGGAGACCGTTCATCATTTCGCGGTCTACATTTTCGGGTCAGGGCCGTTACTCGGGCCACTGGAGCGGCGACATCGAGTCTGACTGGGATGCCATGCGATCTTCCCTTGCATGTACGTGAAAAAATACTGGCGTACAGCAGTGACGTAGTGCTGCACATACTGGCATATTTTGCTCATATTGATCGCTAGAGTGTGCGCAGTAATATGTCAAGGCATCTGTGCCAATTTTATACGAGGCTAATATTATGAAATGGGCATGTTCCCACAGGTCTATGCTCGATGAGATCTTCACATTTGTATATCTAATCGAGGTCCTATCGTTCTGGTGTGTTTTCGGTGGTATTTTTAACGTTCAAGAGACACTGGTAGGTACACTGTAAAGGGTCGGGAGTTGATGATGGCATCCCATCGCTGCCATCATTTGTAAAGGGCTCGAGGTCAATAGCAGGTACGGCGGGCTTCTTCAAGGTAGCTGGCTCCCCACTGTCGTCCGCATAGTCTATTTTGAAAGTGAGGGGACGTGTTCATAAGAGAGATAAAACGAAGATGTATTTACATTATAATTGAAAGATGGAAACTGTACAGAGATTCAGAGGATTCTGCTATGTACAGAGGTTCAGTCCATAATCCAGCACTTCTTTACAAAATGCTTCGGCTTTTATAGCCCGTTGATTCTTTACACGGCAGTCCGAAGAAGGCGGTGACCAATGTTGCCGCCAATGAGGTGGCGTGATGTCTCAGTAATCCACCCACCAGAAAGGGTGCAGAAATGTGGCCACTCGTGAGAAGAAGAACGTGGGTGAGAATGCCCAATTGTCATCACGAGTGCACCACACAATGACGCACCGGCCCCACGCCTTGAAGGCACCGCAGGGTGAGGAGGTAGAGTCCGGACAAGGAAAGTTGAACTCCTTCGTAGAGATGGCCGCTCACACGAACGTCAGCAGTGGTCTATGGCTGCTTTCGGTTACGGGCTTTCACAGAACTCTCTCCAACATGGCAGTCCAGGTGCTCAATCTCTGAGAACTGCGACGGCGATGCCTTCATACACTTCCGGACTGTTGGTGCTTTTGTGACGATTTCGCGTCGGCGACGACAGCCGAGTCGAGAGGTTGACTCCATAAGAACTGCCATAGTGGCGCCGTCCACGCTGTTCGAGCCCGTTCACCTACAGGACAGCGTCTTGCTGACTGGGCGCCTATGGGGTTGAAAGCGTCTTAGCAGACCGGCTTACGCACAATGGCGTCTGCCCGGATGAACTGCCGGGCCCAACGCAACAACACGAAAAGAAAACAAACGCCCATGGAGACGCAATCATTAGTACAAGTAGTCGATAATGTGAATTGTTTAACTTCTTTGTCTCAATGCACATGTGCACGCAGATAGGGGAGCGCGCACATGGGCTCAGAATAGACGTCATACTGGGATAACATGCACCGAACTAGTTGATAATTAGCAAAAAAGAATCGTGAGTATGCGTTGGCAAGACAAACTGCATTGGTGATGACACTTCTACGGTTGTGGCACCGGGCATGTAAATAGTTTTCCGACTCGTGGCTGAGATTAAGGGAGTTTGTGTTTCAGGCTGTCATTGTTGTGTGACATATAAACTGTTTTACTAAAGCGATATACCGGTAATACACTAAATAGAAAGTGCTCTAGAGCAAACTGCTAAGTTTCCTTAATAGAACAATTATGCTCAAATAATTTGATCGCTGTTTTTGGGGTGTAGTCTTGAGTGCATATGCATTGGTGCATGCGCGCGTGAATGATGGAGTGTTAAGTTGCGCCTGGTTACTTCGTTGCGATTATTCATACACATCCTGAAACATTTCTTCGTTACAAAGTCTTCATTTAGCTCGATGAGAAATAGCTTAAGTTATAGAATGCCAAGTGAAGTGTCATTTTATCAGTTGCAAAAAGGTTCAAGCCGTTCTAAAGAGTGTCATAGTATGTGGTGTTTTCTTCTTGGGTTTTTCGATCGATTGTGCGTTGTGCTATGCCAATAGAATCACGGGATGCACAACGCAAAGCTTAAAGAACAAATGGTGATTCGTATTGGAAACGTGTACGTTGTGCATGCAATGACGCGAGTACAGAAGTAAATTTCCGTGTTTTTCGTGTCCCTATGTGCGTGGGTGCGTGCCTAAACCTGAATAAGCTCTTCTCGAGTAACGTGCGTACTTAGCGAATTGACTTGAAAACAAAGGTTGTCTTATTTTCTGGGGGCGAACTCAGCGATGCTGACGTTCAACATTCTCGGCGTTCCCTTGACCGGTTCGGATATCTGTGGCTTCTGGGACAACACGACCAGCGAGCTTTGCAACCGTTGGCACGCTCTGGGCGCCTTCTACCCATTCGCAAGGAACCACAACGCCAAAGGGAACCTCGTGAGTGTACTTAACTGACGTTGTTAACTTCCTAAACAAGTGCTGCCGTAGAATATGGCTCTTAAGCCTGTGTTCCAATCCTCATCGTAGAAGGCTCGATATACACCAGGGAGGGCAACGGCCATATCAATTCTCATTTAGTTTTTTTTTTTCTTGAAGCTGGCGAAATACACAGCTTAGCTAAGACAACAGAGAGGCAAAATGCAATGCAGGTTATTCAAGGAGGTCAAAAAATTATTTTCAAAACGCCCATAGCAACAAGCGATGCTACGACACATGTAGCAATAGAGAAATATATGCCGTATAAAATTGTAGGGCGAGTGAGGCAAGCACTTCGTTTTCTAAAGGTAACATCTCATCGTGCCCTTGTAAAGATGGCGGATGTCGGGCCTGAATTTCGGGACATAATTTCCTCTCCAGATATTAAACACCCATGATGCTAGTTTGCTGAGTAGACAAGGTTATTTTGAGCAGAATGCGGAAAGGCACGCCGGAAATGACCCCTGCTCGTAGGGAGATGTAGCGATTACTTCTTAGGGACTTCGTGTAAGCTACGTTGAATTTTCACATTTCTCGGCATGGTAAAGTTGAAAACACCAGGCTTGGGCGAACCGCGTGGCGCATTCCCAGCGAAAACTGGAGGAGCGACCCGGCGTAAACTATCTTGGAGCGACTACTGCAAGAAGTAATAATCTGAAATAGACAGGTACCCACTATGCCATTATTAATTATTGAGTGGAGAATCGAAGTACCTGAAATGCATCTGTGAGACATGATGTGCACTACTGAGGCTGTGGCTGATAGAGATAAGGCTGAGCCCTTCAGTCAGAAGCTTTAAATTACCGACTCGTTGCGCAATTCACTTTGTGTGGTGCCTGTTTTTTTATTTTACTTCATTGCAGCGCATTGGTTGTGGTACGTACGAATCCTGTTTTGTCCTGAACATTTTTCTCTTATTGTGTGCGATACCGGTCACCGAAACAACTGCGGCAGCGGCGGACTACAACGCTGCCATCGCAGCCTTCGCTGTTAAGCACTGACAAAGTATTCTTAGCTTTTGTTCGTAGACATTGGTGTGCGAACAGCGGATGCAATGCGGGCGGCCGCCACCTTCCCGGTGTCTCCTAAACGGGGGGCTCCTTACATCGACTTCCCCCCTCTCCCGTCCTCCCCTTTCCATAAAGGGTCATCCTGCGTATACGCTTATGCTTGCCGACGTGCGTTTGCGTCTGGTCATGTGAAAGTCTCTAGAGCCGTTTCATTACTCAGTGGACCTTCCAATGTTCTCTTCTGGGCTCTCGATGTAGACTTCTTACGTTGATATGTGGAATCAAAACACGTCATGCACGCGAACATTCAGGGACATTCTGGAAATATTAGCCAGCATGTCCGGACCTTGAAGAGGAGAGCTCTCTTCTGGTGCAGTGCACATGAACTTTCTAAGGTGTCATTGTAGTTGGGTTTACGGGAGTGCCACACATGTTTGATAAAATATTACATTTTGTGGTCTGTGTCCACTACTTCTGCAGTTCAGGGGTTCAATTAGTAAGTTTTGAGATGTAGCTGCTCAATTTAGTTTTAAATGCTTGAAAAGTTTTTCGGCCTTGTTGCACAGACCAAAAAAAAAAAATAGCTGAAATTTTCAGAAGCCAAGCCCCTTTGTCGAACATTTCGACTTCGGCGAGATAGCTTTTCTCAATGCACTGTTAGTTCGATTTTCATATTGATGCACAATTTCTCCCTATTCATAGTGCCATGTATTACTAACAAGCTCGTCACTTAGCTAGCTTCGTTGCAACATTCTTTTGAACATTACCGAAAAATCTGCATCGAAATTGGTTAACGAATACTCTAGTCACTAACATTAACGTGCGCTTGAGAGTGAAAGGCCCGTCAGTTGAGCCATGCATGTATATCTGAATTCCACAAGCCTTAGCAGTTGTTCTAAAAACGTTTGTATACTTCGTTTTGAAAATGAGATAATCGATGCATCGCATCATTGTATAATGTAACGTGAAATAGAGGATGAAATTTGCACTTAGCCGAGTCAGCAGTGCGTCCGGAAGCGTGGGGGCTACATGTTTCAGCTCGGGCCCCATCATGTTCGGTTTCTAGTGGTTTGTCGCAGCCTATAGCGTATGTTGAAATTAGAGCCACTCATTTTTTTATCTCCCTATTTGTTGCATACAATGTGGCGCATAAGTCAATACCAAGGCACAACTTAGCTAGGCACCACTCCAGGAACTTGTACCCTTAAGTCGGGGAAAATAAAAAGTTGAAATCATTCGTACTTACTCATGAAATATTATCTTGCGATTTGGGTTCACTCGGACCACTCACCAAAGTTTTCCCGAGACGCACTCATGCGGACTCACACTTGCCAATATTTTCTTCCACCGTACTCATTCGCACCCAACTGACCGAAATGTTAGAGACCAGGACTCACTCAGATACAGACTCACGTCTCGATCTTGCCGCCATATTCTAGAACGCCCCTTCACTCAACGTTTCACCTTAACTTAAAAAAGTCGATGGGAGCGCCGTCTTTTGGCAGACCAAAGCACTGAATATCGGCAATATTCTGCAACGATTTCTTCAGAATCTACAGCGTCGATTTCACTCGAGCAGCAGTGCAGTACTCAACTCAGTGAAGTGAAGGACGCAATTTGATTCGAGGACCATTTGTGAATACGGGGGTGAGTCTTGAGTGAGTACGAGTGAGTCGACTCATGCGCCGACCAATCACGTCCGCTCGTTTCTGTGACATCCGTGTATAAACTGAGCTTTGGCTGTTCGAAAAGGTTAACGGTTGGGCTGCTGTCGGTGGCAGGACCAAGACCCCGCCGCTATGGGAGGGGCCGTGGCCGCCACCGCCAAGAAGACCCTGAAGATCCGCTACTGCTTCCTGCCCTACCTCTACACCTTGTTCTACCGTAGCCACGTGTTCGGCGAGACGGTTGCCCGACCTCTGTTCTTCGAGTGCGTGCCAAATATATATTTTGGGCCATATGGGGTGGAGTTGGGTGGTAACGTCCAAACAATATTGAGGTGTCAAGCTTAAAAGAGTCTCCTTGGCTCAACTCGAGAAGTGTTAACATATTTGTAAAAAAAACTTCATCGAGGCCCCACGCAAATGTTCTTGGTCAAAGGTGATAGGTGAAGAAGAGGTATTTAGATTGTTTTTTTTTGTTGTTATTTAAGGAATAGCAAGCTTGAGGCAGACTTCAACCATTGTATTTCGTTAACTTCCTGTGACATACTGGCTGTTTTAAACATCTTTTAAGCTGTTAAAAAGGACGTAACGTCGCCAAGCAGGTTCCAACGATGGCCCTGTGCTCTAGTCCAATCAATAAATTTGTCATAATACTGGTAACTTAACTTGCAACTGCAAAGTAGTTGCCGCAGCTTTTGGAAGCACCGTCCAGTAACAGGACAAAGCAGTTAGGTTACTTTTACAGGATTATGTGCAGGCATTTTTACAAAATGGCCCACTCTGACGAAGTTGTGATGGTGTCATGGTCACTTTGTGCGGAAAGGTGTTTCCATGTCACACTATCATGTGCATTTGGTATAGTGCTGAAATATACGCGAGCTTTCGAGGTCGAGTTATCTAGCTGTATTCAGTAGAGGTACAATGTTCGCTCCACTATGGCCAGTTTCAGATAGCGCATATCTTTAGGCCACTGTTGTGACGCTGTTCATCATAACTTGGTGTCTCATCTTAGATCTCCGTTAAACCACGGCCTCTCTAAGGCTTGATTCAGAAAGGTTGCATAAATTGGAACCACGTGCGATGATTAGCGTCTGTTTTATCTCCACACACGTCGGTGCTGCGCGCAGGTTCCCAAAGGATGTCAACACGTATGCCGTGGACACGCAGTTCTTGTGGGGCAGCGCCCTCCTGGTCCTTCCCATCCTGGAGCCGGTTAGTGGAATCCATAAAAGATTTTTCGCGTGGTCTTTGTGTCCAAATGTGACATGAGATCAACTCTGTCTTCCCAGTCAGTCGCATCTCTGCCGTCACTTCATCTCAAAGAAAGCTTCGCGGCAGGCACCTTTGTACTTAAGACTGCGTTTCATGCTATATGTTCATCTATGACCCTGAAAGCTATAGTTAAGCGTTGCACGAAAATGACTAGGACCACTATGTACATAGTAGTGCGTCCTTCGAGACAAAACCAACATCTCTGCTCCAAAAAGAGTGCCGAAGTCATGTCAGACCATAGGCTACCCCTTACCTTCCAGTGCAGGTGACGTGTCTCGTAAGCTCGTAATATGTGCATGACTAATAAGTTACACATACACGTCAATTCAGTTTAACGTTTACCTTAAAACAGAAACATGGATGATCTCTTCGTAACAGGACTCAATATAACGCCAAATAAAACGTGTTCCTATTGAAGTAGTTAAATATTTCAGGCATATAGATATCAAAGAGCTTGCACAAAGTCCCTTGGTGTTTGACACATGTAGCGCCGTTTAACGAAAGCCGCTATACTTCGCAAAAGTTCCACCATCTGCTTTCTCTCTCGCCTTTCGCTTGCGACAGTTGCGCCCCTTGTAACACGCCACGAGCTTGCAGTATGCTTTCGAGCCGATGAGAGGAGGAAGTGGCACAGATCAAAAGAACGCTGTTCTTTTCGAGTATCACCATCTGCTCTCACTCTCGTCACCTCCTCTCCGGCGCGTTGCTTTTTTTTTTCTTTCGCTTGCGACAGTGGCGCCCCCTGTAACGCGCCATGAGCCTGCAGTTTACTTTTTTTTTTATTTATTGCATACTGCCAGCCACCTCTTGGTGGCCAAGGCAGGAGTGATACAAACTTTCATACTTGCAGCCACTTATAACACTATACTTCACGGCGCAGAAATAAAATCATCACATAACAGGTTTGCATGGAACATGAATACTCGGGTTACAGGAGCAACACCAGAGCGGTATCAAAAATACAATCCAAATTTTTCTTCCTAACACGAAGTGCAAAAACATCATAGAAAGAATTGAAATCTGCACATACGACCAGACAGCTTTTACTACAGACAGGCAGTGGCAGCTGATAAGAATGCGTCGGGCGCTGCGATGCTGGTGACATCATGAGGTAGTTCATTCCAGTCGGAAATTGTTCGTGGAAAGAAGGAATATCGCCGAGAATTTGTTTTTGTAAGTGGCACAACTATGGTGTTATCATGCTTGTTCCGAGTTTTCCGCGATGTATTGTACTGCATGTAAGTGTTAAAGGCGAGTCCTGAGTGTCCGTTGACTATGTTATAAAGGAATTTTAAGCGATGTAGCTTTCTACGCGACTCCAATGTGGGAAGGGCGGATCTATTACGGAGTTCAGTGACTGAACAGTGTCTACTGTACGCGTGGTAAATAAACCGAAGGGATTTATTTTGGACTCGTTCTAGTAAGTATATTTCAGTTTGTGTGTGTGGATCCCATACTACGTCAGCATATTCCAACAATGGGCGTACCAATGTAGTGTAAGCAACTAGTTTTGTTTTGCTGGTGCAGTGCCTCATGCGATGCTTTAAGAACCACAATCGCCGCAGTGCTGCTGATGTTATACCTTCAATATGAGTTTTCCAGCTCAAATTAGAAGTGATTGTCAGACCAAGGTATTTGTACTGGTTAACGGTTGTTATAGCAGTGTTGTTTAACATGTAAGTGAATTCCGAGGGATTTTTTTACGTGTTATGGTCATCTTGACGCACTTTGCTATGTTGAGGCTCATTTTCCAGGAGTTACACCATGCTGTAATAACCGATAAGTATTCATTTAGGGTGGCGTGATCTGTTCTTGATTGAATGGGCAGGTACACAACGCAGTCGTCCGCGAAAAAACGACACTGCACAGTAGATTCGGATGACATGTCATTTAGATAAACTAAAAATAAAAGTGGTCCTAGGACAGAGCCCTTTCTTTCAAGCTGGTGAGGACTTTCAAGCTGGTGAGATAAGGAAGCAGCGCAGATCAAAAGAATGCTGTACTTTTCAAGTACCACCATTTGCTGTCCCTCTCGGCACCTCCTCTCCAGCGCGTTGCTTCTTTTTCTTTCGCTTGTGACAGTGGCGCCCCCTGTAACGCGCCAAGAGCACACAATATGCTTTCCAGCCGGTGCGAGAAAGAAGCGGCACAGATGAAAAGAACTCTGTACTTTTCAAGTGCCGCCATCTGCTCTTCCCCTCACCGCCTCCTCTCCCGCGCGTTGCGTTTTTCTCTTTCACTTGTGACAGTGGCGCTCTCTGTAACGCGCCACGAGCTTGTAGTTTGCTTTCGAGCCGGTGAAAGCAGAAAGCGGTGCAGATCGAAAGAACGCTGTACTTTTCCGAAGTTATAGGGGCTTTACGTTTAACGGGTGTGCACCAACGTTCCACATTGACGCTGGGTTGGAGATACTCGTATACCGATGACTAATGTCGATGATAAACGATTGAACAAACCTTTCTGGTCATAGGTACTCAGGTTTAATGTAGTAGTTAACGGTGACCGTGGAATAAGGCACAGCGGCCTGACAGTCAGAAGAGCATGCTTGGATGTTGAGCTTAGACCAAGCTCACCTACCGGCGGCTTGTTATTGGACACCTGTGCCCGAAAAAAACGTGCGCGGTGCCTTACCTGTTGCACGAGATGGGCGTCATTGGGAACGCGGAGTTACAGCTAGGCGAAGCAGGCATGCGTCACCGAGCTATCTTTAGTATAGTTGGATGGTATAAGCGAGGCCGACATATTGAGCTTCTTTTCGACGCTTGAACTGAGGTCGCCACCTGACCGTGTGTCGAGGCATCGAAAGAGTTGCACATCTGTTGGAAACGTGCCGAATCGGACGGATGCGTTGAAACGACGTTTTGAAGGAGCTAATTGCGGATGCTCACACTCCTGATCTGTTACTTCAAGTTATCAAGAGCACTGTAAGGAAACAGTTAGAGATACAAAAGGTGCGTATGTGAAGTCTTCTGAGGGTGTTATTGGGCGCCACGTCCGGCATCTGTTGTCGTGGATCGAGAGGTTCTTAGTTCGACGGAGCTGTTTTTTTTTTCAATCTGATCGTGTGTATTTATTTGTCATTTACACAACAGAAACAGGTCACTGATGGACCCCGGCATAAAGGACACTCGTGTTGAATAAAGCTGGCATATGGTGCTACTTGCTGGCAGCGTCGCGAGAAATGGACTGCCACAAGAAGTGGGTTCTGTGCCAGTTTTGTTGTACGTGTAGTCCGTGCCAAACACTGACACCGGGTAGATGTAGGATCAACTGCTGCAAGAAACCAATGATTGCAGTGGTCCAGATTACAGTGGTTACAGAAGTTCATGTTTATTAATGGGAGGCCTATGCAGAGTAGGCATTACTAGCATTTCTTACGTACAGTGAATTCTCGTTACAGTGAGAAAGGGTTGAGCTGCCAAGGAGATAAAGCCATAGGCAGCCAAACCATCATGCCGCGCTCTGTTAGTCAAGTTGTGGGACATGCGTTCCTTCAAGGAATTCCTCGTGCTGCGGTGTCCTATGTTATGTTACCTGAGCATGTTACTAGAATACACACCAACGTGTCCAAACCAAGTAGCGATCTTTGGCTTTCAAGCTAGAGTGACAAATTTTGTAAGATATAAACTTGGTCTATAGCCTGGAAGGAAACTTGTGATCAACAGGTTCTTGACCACTGCACGCCACAGTTCTTTGACCCAACTCGTTGTGGCTTTGCAGAACTCAACGAGCGTGAAGCCTTACCTCCCCCGCGGCATCTGGTACGACGTTATGCTGGGCCTGCCCTACCACAGCGCCGGCGAAGACTTCCAGATGTCGCCACTCAACGACTCCATCTGCCTGCTCATTCGCGGTGGTCACGTGGTACCCTCACAGGAACCGGCGCAGACCACTGCCGCCAGGTACTTGGGAACAATGGGCTGTACAATCGGCTATAAAAGCCACTCGCCAGGTCCTTGGTCATAGATGCCACCCTCTTTTTTTCTCCTCCACGTCTTTAATAGCCCCATCCAATTCCCATACAGGCGACGAGTTGTGCCCCCAATTAGGGCTGCAGCAGCTGCGTCTTTTCCTTTCCTCTACCTCTTCTCGTCCTATTTTGCTCCAAGTCTCTTGTGAATCTGACTGCACGATGAAATGCTTTTTATTTGAATGAGAAGAGACCTTCAGCTGGGTGTATGTTATGAAACTAGATTACATAAAAAATCGGAACTTGTAGCATGGGGAAGTAGAATGATCGACTAGAAAGATAAAACGCAAACTTTCTGTTGGCAAACATTGGCAACCACTTTTAACTAATTACCCAGAAACTTGCAATGGGTGTTCAGGTCATCTATTCATCCTCTTCGTTTATCTCGCTTATATTTTATTGTATCTTCGCTGAAGCGCTTTGGTGTCGTCGCTGTGCATAAAGTGTACAATTTACGCAGTGAGATTTCCTGCTGATGGAGCCAGTGAGCACCGTTGTTGGGTCGCAAGCGCTATGCATAGCGTTGACAATAATTGATATGTGGGGTTTAACGTCCCAAAACCACCATATGATTATGAGAGACGCCGTAGTGGAGGGCTCCAGAAATTTCAACCACCTGGGGTTAGCCTTGACAATAAAGAGCAGTGTAACACTCACTGCAGTAAAACAAGCGTTGCAATGGTCTCGTGACTGCAACGAGGCTTTCTCGAACTTATTAGTAAAAATCTTTGTATTTTTCGTGAGCTGTGGACCTTTGACCAGCTAAGGCGAAATATACTATTATGGGCAATTTCCGTGCCCAACAATGTGCAAAAGCAGGCCATGGATTTTTCGACGTAATTCTCAGCATCACAATGCCAATGATGATATACTTATGGCTGCTACATGTCAGATACTGCAAAACCTATGGCTTCGTCAGATCTACCCGTGATATCAGAACAAATAAAAAAATCTACCATGACGAGTGTTTAGCACAACGCCAGTCTTTTTGTGTAGCCAGCCTTAATTGACCTATTCAGGCGTATTTTCAGTCGACTCAAGCCGTTCAACCTCCTCGTGGCTCAAGACCAGGACAGTCTGGCGACGGGCGAGCTCTACTGGGACGACGGGGAGTATGTCGGTAAGCATGCAGTTCATTTAGCTTTCCCGTCTCTCTTTTTTACTTCTCATCGTAGAATATTTTACAGCACAACTTTTAGACACAGCGTTGACCTCACAACTAAAAGTTATTTGGAAAAGAAAGGAACACATATTGTTTTTATTGAGACAATATAAGTAAGCTTGTGTGTATGTCTGTTTTGATTTGAGAAAATGTATGCATGTATTGCCTGTAACGATATAATTAGTTTGTTTTTTATCTTTTTTTTTGCTGACCGGTACATCCACTATACATATTGTATTGGACAGGTCACTAGCCACTTAGGGCTATGAGTCCAAATATTCCTTGTATTTTTATTCTTTTTCATTGAAAATACTTGAATTGATTGTTTGTTTGATTGATTGATAGGAAACCTGCTAGATAAGACTTGAATCATGTTGTGTTATAATGCTTCTGCACATGCGCAGAGTTTTCATGAACCAATGTTTTCTATATATGTTTCCTTCCTTTTCCAAATGAATTTCATTTGTGAATTCAGCCCTTTGTCTCTTCGCTGTTCGTAGCTTAACGTGGGGCTATAAAATATTCTATGATGGACATCCACCAACTTGCCCGACTCGCGATTCTTTACTTCTGCCTGCCCAGTACATTGATTTCTTGGTATGAACCCCTATAGTCCTGCAGAGAACTATTCCCGCAGTCTGCGCAATGACGCCGCACAGAATAATGCCGTTACCACGAATTATGACACGCAATCGAAAATGGTACGTGTCTATAGATAATGAGAACCATAGCAAAGAATGTAGGAAGAGACAGACGAACTGAGAGGAGTCTTAACCACCCAGTTCAAAATCCCACCAGAGTGTGTCTGGTGTGTTCTTTTGTGTTCTGGTGGATACACCAGAGCACACCGGTGTGTTGTGGTGTATACATTACCCTATACATTAACCAATGCTATCTGTGTATATGAGGCGGCAGTAACGCCTATGAAAGGATCTAACACAAAGTACAAAAGTTCTTAGTCGGAACGCCTCAAAACGTACCTGCGTACAAGGTATCTTTGACGAGGTGTCCGACAAGAACTGTTGCACTAGAGTTTTTTCCTGAGGTATGTGTTGCATTCCGCAGGGCTCTTACTTTACAACTGTTCTAATGAAATAACAAACAGTGTTCTTTATAAATTAAGCATCGAGTTGAATTCATCGCGCATTTTGGTACGCCCCCCGAGATGGTCTAGTGGCTAAGGTACTCGGCTGCTGACCCACAGGTCGCGGGATCAAATCCCGGCTGCGGCGGCTGCATTTTCGATGGAGGCGGAAATGTTGCAGGCCCGTGTGCTCAGACTTGGGTGCACGTTGAAGAACCCCAGGCGGTCAAATTTCCGGAGCCCTGCACTACTGCGTCTCTCATAATCTTATAGTGGTTTTGGGACGAGAAACCCCACATACCAATAAAATATTTATTAATTATTAAAATACAATTATCAATTTGGTACCAGTTTTTAACTGTAGCATCGGTGACTTAATACGAAGTGTTGTGTATCACTTTGTCAACAACGCATGGCGATATTGACAAACATAAAAAACAGGCTCCTTCATAATCCTAATGTCAAGGCTGAAGGATATATTCGAGTTTGCTCATATCATGACACCTAACCCAATTCGGGACACTGGCGTGCAGCAACAAAAGCCATTTTGTTGCAAGCCTCTTGTGAATCGTACTGTATTCGCATGTGATTGTGCTGTTGACAATGAGAAGATAAAGTTCGAAGATTGCTAGTCCAATGCACTACTGTGGTTAATTCACCTAATATGATATATCTGAACCTCTTCGGCAATTGTGCGGAATCGCAGCACTAGTTGTGTGTTTACTGCATTTAAAGAGCCTGTAAACACCTATTGCTGGTGGAAGATGCTTCATGATACAATCAATGGTGCCTGCTCTATTTATAACTGACATATTTCTTACGGCAGGAAGAACAAAGCAAAGGAGCTTGTTTTATCGTATCGACATGGTTAGTCAGCCAATCAGTAACTTGAACAGAAGTCGTAGAAGCGTTGACTTGATGCAAAAAATATAGATCAATTACAAAGCACAATCTCAGTGGGTCCTGAATCTTTACATTTCTAGAAAATGAAGATATCATGAATACTATGCGATTAGTTGATGTGTCAGCGTGTTTATCATTACTAAATAAATAAAAATAGTATTGTCACACTTTTCCTAAATTACGTATTCAAAGCTAGCCAATTTCTGATTACATTACAGGTTCATACGAAAAGGGAGAGTACAGCCTCATCAAGTTCGTCGCAGTCAAGGTGAGAGCGTCGGTCTATATAGAGGCGCTCAAGAGTGTCGCAAAACTCTGTCGTCAGTGCACCGCCCAACCCGCAAAGCATGGACGGGTTCGCGGACATTCCAAGCGTCCACCACCCTAAGGCTCTCCCCTTCCGCTGTTTACCCGCACTCGTTAGCGTGTTCGGGTCGAGGAGAGCACATTAGTCGGCAGGCTTCTGTGCTCACTGGCCTAGCTACGCGTTCCGGTTCATTTGTATAATATTGATGAAACTTTTAGCGCAAAATGGACACAGTTAGGCCTGAGACACGTAGGCACGTTCTCGCGCATATTCAATTCTGTGATCGCACGCGTCGATTACTTTTTCTTTGTGTTTTCCATTTTGACCGGTCCGTGCGTTCCTTTAGCAAGTGCGTTTCAGTGACGGAAATGACGTCAGTCAGTTCTTCGCTGACCCCGACACAACGGACTTTTGTCTTGAAAATGGCGAGTGTCTGGGTTCCCAAATTGGAGCAAGCCAAAATTACATATGTTATCACCTCCTAAGAAATATTTAGTAACACCTTTGCTTGCGTACTCTTGAATGAACATATGGTAATGCCTTCACGTTACCACGAATATAATTGAGTCGAAAGTGAGAAGAGTCAAAGTGGTTGTAGGATTCATACATGGGAGAGCTTCCATGCACTCTCTTCGCCAGCACGCGGCGTAAATTGGGCCCTCATATGCCTTGTTAGCTTGCAGCAGTAATTCTGCGTCCTCTGTCGCACGCAGAACACGGTGGTGAGCATGTGCGTGCACTGCGGCTACGACAGCATCATGCTGCTGAACGCCGTCACCGTGTACGGAGTGACGGAGAAGCCTCGGGAGGTGCACTTTAACAGGCTGCCGACCAACTTCACCTACAACCCGGCAGGACAGGTGGGCGAGCATTGCGTTTGGAGGCAGGTGCCTACGGCGGGCACTGGTTAACGGACTCGTGTCCTCGGGATGCGCACTGCAGGCAAACCGGATGTCAGTCCATCGTGATGACTGGACGGCCCGTACTATAGCATTTGATATTCTTTGCGTTTCATTGGACGTCCATAGATTGTACACACATACACATGTGCTATCAGCGTCAAATGACAATCGAACAGAGTCAAGCCTTGGCGATGCTATATATGGTGCTAGCCGTCCACTTATCGCCATTTACAAGCGCTCGCATCCTGTTAGGCAGCTTTGCGCATATTCGTGGTTCCTGTCCGTGGGGATAAGCATAGAGATCTTGGCAGATTGTGATTCTTTCACTGCAGTAATGGACATAGCGTCGCACTGTGTGATAATTGATACTTCTAAGTTAATGGCTGAAGCTCTAAACCTGCGTGCACCGAATATTCCCTAGGTAAACATGTGTGTGCATTTATTGTGAAGAAACTCTTGTCTTTTTTTTTTGAAGTTTATTTCGCTGTGAACAAGACCCTGCAGCGGGACCAAAACATCCTTGTTAACGATCGGTGAGGGCCTGATTTTGCCGCCGTGAGCTTTCCCTATCAGGAATCTTAGCTTGGACTCTCATTAGTTGAAAATAATATGTTACGCCCCATGAATATCGACTAAACGTTCTCGTCGTACATTCTTCCGGCACTAAAAATTTTGTTTATTCCTTTCTATTGCAGTTCATGAAGGTGTCGAGCCTACATTACCAGCTGACGAAGCCCTTTGTTCTAACGTGGAACCGATGAAGAGTCGTTTCGTGCGCCAGTGTCGGGCTTTGAATCAACTTGTGTGCACACCACTCGCCATGTGAAATAAATGCTTCAAGCAGTTCAGACGTAGGGAAGACATTCTCAAAGTCCCTATGTAGTGGCCATGTCAAATTACCGTGGAGAGCATCCAGTTAGTCGAGAAAACGGATGATCATGACGTCATGGCACTCTTGACCAGGCTGACGCACAAAACTCGCATAACACATTTGCAGCTTTCGAGAAAAGCGCACGAACAGTGCAGGTACAGAAGACCATGTACATCTCATATGCACTTAAACAGGGCAGGGAATATGTAACAGAGCGTAACCGGTGCTGTGAACGAGGGGTGACATTACGCTTGATGTGAAGGCTGTCGGGGTGGTGTGGCGTGCTTAAATGTTTCTTTCCTAGCTAGTCTTGATGTTGTTACCAGTTTGCAATAAACTTCCCTGTCTCTCTCTTGATATGCGCTGGCGATGTACGTAGGGCCCACGGGACGGCTTTTAGATCTCCCATAGCAGAGTACCGAAAACTCTAAATCGTTAGACAGTTTTTCTAAACACACAAAAACGAATGTAGTTAAGCAAATATAATTTTTTTGAAAGAAGAAAGAAATCACCACCGAAGAACTCTCACAAATGGTTGAACAATGAAAGCTGAAACGTGCCACCCTGGTCTTTAGCAAGGTGGTAAATTCCGACGCTGCACTAAAGCCTTTCACAATTATTCGTCCCATGTTCATGCCTCTTAATGGGGTGACACGCACGTTTGGCTTGGGTGTACCCATGGTGCTTATTTTTCACCTGCCTCACAGTGTGCCCCGCATGATCACGGTCATGGATCGATGTAGCGAGTGGTTGATTGATTGAATGATTGATTAATTGATTGATTGATTGATTCGTAACGTTTGACGTCCCAAAACCACTATTTGATTATGAGAGACGCCGTAATGCAGGGCTCCGGAAATTTCGACCACCTGGTGTTTTTTAACGTGCACCCAAATCTGAGCACACGGGCCTACAACATTTCCGCCGCCATCGGAAATGCAGCCACCGCAGCCGGGATTCGATCCCGCGACCTTCGGGTCAGCAGCCGAGTGTAACTTAGCCACTAGACCACCGTGACGGGGCGGCGAGTGGTTAAATGCGTTTCGAAATGCGTTATTTTACAGTGCTTGTTTTCGAAGCATGGGCGATCGCAGACGTCACCGCCGAAGCCACACTGCCGCTGCTCCCGCCGAAAGCGGGCGTTCACGCAAGCGAACGGGTTTCCGCAGTCATCTCGTTGACGCTATTGTGCCCGCAACTACAGCGTGCACTGCACCGCAATGCCGCTTGTTCGGCGCGGCGTTGCTGTAAGTGTTTAACATCGCGAGCTAACTTGGCGGTGTGGTTCGCGGGATCTATACGCCACCAGTGCTTGCAGTGCCGTTAGGGATTTAGCGCGGCTTGGAAAACTGCCGAATCGTCGGTCCGGCACTCGCCCTCCCGGGCCTGTTTATGTGTCAGGACTGCGCCATCGACCCGGCGAATGCGAGTTATCTCGTGTGTTCCACTGTCGCGGCTCTCCTAGAGTTGTCTGCGCCTTAACCATGTGGATGGAAGTTTTCAGTAGAAACCTTGTGGATACTGATGCCCACGTACTCGGCGCCACGACTGTGACGAGGTGGACGACGTCCCTCAGAACGCAGCCAATGGAGCGCCTGCTTGGGTACGGAGCGGAGAACGACGTAACAGATAGCACAGCCAACGTAGACCGCTCGTGGAGCCAAATTCGAACGGTTTTCCGTTTCACCTAGCCATATAGAGCTTTCACTGTAAAATAAAAGCTGTCGAGTGGTGACAGGCGTCAACTCCCTCTTACGCCGCCTCACCCGGAGGGAACGGTTGGACTCACTTTAAATAAATTTGATTCATCAATTTACGACTGGTTGTTTTAGTATATTTCTTTGCAATCAATGTTCGAGCATGGTCGCTACATTTCCGTAATGACCATGGTTCGAGCGTGGTCTTTCCGCGCGATCTTCTCTTATCGCCTATCGCGCAGCTGCCTTCTGTGTCATAAGTTCAGACGGCACCACCACTGGCGCATGCGCAATGCGTGCGGAGCTGTGCGCCGAATCACCCGGGCAGCCAGAAGCACACCGTTTTCTCGAGGAGGCTGCGAAGTTTGTTCGCCACTCGATTTCCTGCAGGTTTTTGTGCGCTGCGTGAAGCCGGCAATGTCGCTGAGCAGCGGACGCGCGCGCGCGTGTGTGTGTGTGGGCTGCGTGGAAACTACAGCGAAACTTCTTGTGAGTGCCGGCGCCACGACGTTCACCACACTCCAAATCAAGCGCCGTTCACTGCGACTACTGCTTCCACTGCCTAACGGCTCATGGCCGAATGACTCAGTCGAGTGAGTGTCTCTTGTTTTAGATACACTTTAATGCCGTGCACGTTCTTCGTTATTTCAGTAATTGTCAAATCGGGACCTTTGTGGCTGTTCAAAGCGGCCTATTTTGGGAAGTTTGGTGTTAGTGTGCTTGTCTTAGCAGATTGATATGTGGGGTTTAACGTCCCGAAACCACCATATGATTATGAGAGACGCCGTAGTGGAGGGCTTCGGAGATTTCGACCACCTGGGGTTCTTTAAAGTGCACCCAAATCGGAGCACATGGGCCTACAACATTTCCGCCTCCGTCGGAAATGCAGCCGCCGCAGCCGGGATTTGATCCCGCGACTTGCAGGTCAGCAAACGAGTGCCTTAGCCACTAGACCACCGTGGCGGGGCGATGTCTTAGCAGTATATATGTGAGGTTTACTTGGCTTATCATTGCGCATGACTGATCTGTTGCTCGCGACATTCTGTCGACAGATATTTTAGTCGATATCTGTCCTATCCATGAGCCGTCTTATAGCCAAGTACTGGCGCACTTGCCTCGAGATGTCATGTGCTACTTCTGAGAAGTATGCTGATTATCCTTCGCCGAATAAATATCGCCTTACTCGGAAACGAGTAAGATACTTATTATGTGGTGCAACAGAATCAGGCTTCACGCAACGTGTAAACTAATCGGATTGACGGAGCTTTCAGCGCACCATTGACAATGTGCAGACGAAATGGATTATCATCATAATCATCATCATCTTCCTCATCATCCTCAGCAGCAGCCTGACTACGTCAACCGCGGGTAAAAGGCATTTATTTTCCTTGTTCCTCCAGTCAACTCGGTCCTGTGCTTGCTGCTGCCAATTTATACCCGCAAACTTCTTAATCTCCACTGCCCAGCTAACCTTCTGTCTCCCCCTAACCTACTTGCCTTCTCTAAGAATCCAGTTAGTTACTCTTAATGACCAGTGGTTATCCTGTCTACGTGCTAAATGATCGGCCCATGTCCATTTCTTCTTGATTTCAACTACGATATTGTCACGGGGTCGTGACGTGGCCGAAGACAGGAGACTTCGTGTTGGGATTTAACTGTTTATTTTGGCGAACCTGTGCCAGGTACACGGAAAGTCCAATTACAGCAGCAGTCTTGCACAGATAGCAGTCTCGGACTGATAGCGGCGAACGGAGCGTCGGCCTTCGAACAACAACTGACAAGTGACGAAGCGCGTCGGCATTTATACTCTTGCCGTCGATTGTTCTAGCGTTATCGCTGGCGGTAACGCTAGACCAATCTGTACCGACCAATCAATACCGACCAATCCGAATATGTACCGACCAATCCAGACCAATCTGTACCGTTCGCACAGTGGGCGTAATCTTATCGAAATGATTTACTACAGTCCGGAACCTTCTCGAAACTGCATGCGCGGTTTGCGCTGAGAATCGTGTAGTGTTTTAGGACGATAACAAAAACTAGGGAAATGGAACGTGGCAATATCCTTAACCCTCGTTTGTTCCCCAATCTACTCTGCTCTTCTTATCTCTTAAGGTTACACCTACCATTTTTCTTTACATTGCTCGCTGCGTCGTCCTCAATTTAAGCTGAACCCTCTCTGTAAGTCTCCAGGTTTCTGCTCCGTAGCTAAGTACCGGCGAGATGCATCTGTTTATACCTTCCCCATGAGGGATAGTGGCAATCTACCTGTCATAATTTGAGAGTGCTTGCAATGTGCTCCACCCCATTCTTATTCTTCTAGTATTCTTCTATCTCGTGGTTCGGCTCCGCGGTTATTACCTGCCCTAAGTAGAGATAGTCTTTTACAA